ATATAATAATTAAAAATAATAAAAATTCAAATTAATTCAGAATAATTCAAAATAATTCGGTATAATTTAACGGTTTCAACTCTTTTCTGATATTTTGGAGAGTCAAATATCGCGAAATCGTATCGTTTTGTTATTGCATCGACAGGATCAAAACTGAGACGTAACGATTTGGCCGAGTCCTCGGAACCATGGTGTGGAGTTGACTAGCTTCGTGTCTAATGATAATCATCAGAAGAAGCAGCAGCTAAGACCAGGGTACTCTATGGTGGAGGATCAAGCTGCTGTAGTCAAGCAGAATGTGTAACGCATAGCCAGTGACTGAAGTCCAGGCTGGCCCTGGGCAAGGATCACATCACATGTCCGGTTAGCAACCGGAACAAAAGTTTAAAATAAATATTGTTGTGATGCGACCCACTGCTAAGTCGAACGAACGAAAGTACACCAAAGTAGGTGACTGATTTATGTGGAGTCGTGTTGCCTCACATACCAATTGGCTGAATGTAAATTTTGTGTGAGTCCCCTTATATTACTCTTAATTGAATCATTTAACCGTTGATCTTCTGAGTATTTTTAATTTAATTAGATGTGTGAATTTTTATCTCTTGACAGAAAAAGTGTAGCCTCGCGTAACTTTGTTTTTATTTGCGTTTGAGAATTTTTTTTTAATGTGAGGCAAGTACAAGATTCATAAAACAAGTCCATAACTCAAAAATCCAGAACTCAATTTTCTTTGTTAGCTGGGTTTTGACTTACTAAAACCTAACTCACAGAACCCATTAACAATCCTGTAAAGTAATCCCTATTCAATTTAGTTAATCATAACATGCATTAGTTGTTGGTTATTATTCTAATATAAACTTCCTACATTCATTATTATACATAGTCGCACTTTCTTTCTTTCTTTTTTTTTTTTTTCAATATTTTAGCTTATATTGTTTATTCATGGATATGTTCATTATATTTTTGACATTACCATAGTATGTGCCAGTCGCCAAACATTTGTAAAGACAAAATATATTCTTGTCAATAACATTTACAAACTAGTTTCATTTAGACCAAGGATTTCTCGACTCAATAATGTCTCATGTTAAATTTTGCTCCCCCTATATGATATGTGGAGGCCAATTGTGTATTTGTTCCTGAAGAGGTGATTTTTGGTTGGTAGCTATGCCGACCTGAATCAGTCCTCTCTGAGATGAGGTGAGGTGAGTTCTTATGTCTGAAGTCACCCTTTTGTCTGAAGTGAATGGCGGGGCTTCTCCCCTGGGATCACTCCGACGATCAAGTTAGTATGAGAACGAGAATAATGAGAATATGAGTTAATGAACAGTGTATGCTTACTTGAGGTGTGCATGAGAGGTATTTATAGAGTAGGAGTAAAGGATAGATCGGAGGGCTCATGCCGGAGTAAAGTACAGTAAATTTCAAAAACAATGTAATAATACATGGCTCTTAATGTAGATTAATGATCTAATATTAGTAAGCAGCATTTACAAAAATATGAAAGAAAAATAAATATTGTGATTATATTGATTAAATGTTTTAATTTGTGCAAAAAAAAAAGGAAAAAACCAACAAATACAAAAGCCAACAAAGTTGCCCTCAAAGTTGCCCAAAATTATCTTTTAAGCGCTTGACAAAAAATTCACTATTCATAAGCCAACACCCTCCGAAAAATAATTGTTGTGATTATATTGATTAAATGTTTAAATTTGTGCAAAAAAAAAAAAGGAAAAAGCCAACAAAAGCCAACAAATACAAGAGCCAACAAATTTGCCCTCAAAGTTGCCCAAAATTACGCTATAACCGCTTGACCAAAAAGCACTATTCATCCTCCAACTCCCGCTTTTATTATATAGACTAGTGGGACGGCCTGCGCGATGCGCAGGAGGACTAATATTTCCCGTGTTAAGTTGCACAATTTTTAGTTATTGTGTATTTGTTGCAGTGTAGAGAATTTTATGATTAGAATAAATTATGTGGTGTGGGTTAAGTGATTATAAAAGTGGGAAAAAAGTATAGTTGAAATTACAAAGCGAAGGAAGTGCTGTTACATGGATGGAAGTCAGTCCACAAGATAGTTACATGCATAGTTGGACTGATAGTTACATGAAAGTAGAACAAAAAGATGGTTACAAAGTGAAGGAAGTGCAGTTACATGGATGGAAGTCAATCCATAAGATATTACATGCATAGTTGGGTTGATAGTTATATGATAGTGGAACAAAAGTGCATCCGAAATTGATTTCATTATAGTAGCAATGTTAAATAATTGCGTTGAGTTTGTGAACAATGTTATTCATTGGATTTCATTGGACTATGTTTATTAGAGTAGCAATGTTAAATAACTACGTTGAGCTTGTGAACATTTTAATTGTATTTTATTTAGATTATATTGGATACGCTTGAACAAGTTCATCGTCAAATATCTGAAGTGTATATTTGTTCAATCCTAATTCCTAAGTGAGAAAATACGACAGTATAGTCTACTTTAATTAAATGAAATTTTGTCAACTTTTTTCATCCATTTGTTAAATAATTGTCCTCAACTTTTATATCCTAAGTCTTTTGCTGACAATAGAGCACAATTATGCTATCTTTATTTGGTAGAATATGGAAGGTATCATCTGGATGTAATTCCTGTCATAAAAAGATGTGAAATTTTTGTAAGAATATTGATATACTGATATGCTAAATATTTGTATAATATGAAAATTACCAAGTAGTCTATATCAGATGGCTGTATTGTCACGTAGAATTGAAACTTTGTTAGCAGTCCTTCTGTTGGGCAGAATGTTCCTGCAGTTTTCTTGGATAACAATTTAGGTTGATAAATTGTGTTTAATTAGAGAGTAATAATTTTGTACCATAGCGTATTCGATTTGGCCATAGTCTTGGGCTGGTAAAATGTTCCATTCATAGAAAGTTGAGCAACGATTTGGAGCAAATATCTGCACTCGAAAGGCCATTACACCTATGTGAAAAAATTGGATCATGAAGTTTTCTTGTATTTGGTGATCGCATAGAAATTCTTTCCAGCTAGAATTTGCGGGACTTTCATGTAATCTAATAAACCAAAATTTGTTTCCATTTTTTAGTATTGCTTTTCTTCGCATATGGCGTCCTATATGCAGCAAAGATTTGGCTGGTATGACCTGAAAATTAGTAGCAAAAGTAAGAAAAAATTAAAGTGGATTTTGATTTGCAATATATTTTGTTGAAAATATTGATCTTACCATTTGCTCTGTATCTTCTCTACTAAAGTACATCAAAAAGTTTTTGATTGGTGATGCTGTATGGTAGACAAAAATAAGTGAATAATATTTAGTGATTTAGTTGTTGATAGAATTTATATAGATGGGGTTTATAATAGTGGCAATTTGTGTATCTGACTCGTCGCTTATTTGCACAAAGAATTTTGGATACTGTTGCAGTAAAAATCTAGTTGGATATACTTACAACAAATGTTGAGCTCAGGACTTGAGTAATTTGCCAGATATCTTACTGCCATTTTCATTGGTGCAACATGTAGCAGTAGTAAAAGATGTATATAAAAGATCCAAAAGACCAAAACGCCCCTCAAAGTCACAAAAATAACAGCATAACCGCTTGACCAAAAAGGCACTATTCATTTGCCAATATATTTAGATATATATATATATATATTTAGAGATAGAGATAGATAAGATATATATATATATATATATATATATAAGATATTTAGATAGATATTATAGATAGATATCAGGGTTGCTTTTTTATTTTTTGGGGAAAAAATTTTGAGGATAAAGCTCCCTACAATCAGATTCAAGAAACCAATAGAAAAGTTTGTGGGGCCAGTAGTGGGGATATGCACATATAGTAGATCCAAATTGACCGGCTCCAATGACAATTGAGGGAAAGAAAAAAATGACAATTGAGGGAGAGGAGCGCTGAAGTCATCGGCTGCTCGCTATTTTGTTGCCTATTGCCCTCAAAGTTGCTGAAAATTACGCTATAACCGCTTGACAAAAAATGGACTGTTCATTGTCCAACTCCCGCTTTTATATATAGTTAGATTAGATATGGGCTATTCATTAGTGTTGTTGGAATGCGAAGATGGACTGTTTGTTGCATCTTTTGTTATTAACTGCATCTTCAATTGCATCGTTGCAAGACTTTAAATATCAATTCCAAATTATATCTATCAATCTATTGCTATAGCTAGAAGTGTTTCACGAATGACTGTTGCATTATAATTAGTGCTTGTATACAAGTTTTCAAGTCCTAGAATGTGACTTCATATGTTGTTTTCCATATGTTTTTCCTTGCACTTGACTGTTCCACAAATTTGTACCCTACATTTTGTCGTGGGGTTGGGGGGAACCAAAATTCTGCTGCCTCTTTATTACTATTCAATATTCCGTTCCACTCCATGCCCACCAATTTTCTATTCAAAGTCAGCTTCGCGTCATCGTTTACCGCATTACCTGCTGGTTTCTCCACCGTTCCCTTTTCTGACTCTGCAGTTTTGCGTGGCTTTACACCACATGGAGATTTCTCCACTAAAGAGAAGCTTCGATGCGAATGTGGCGATGTCTCATCGTGCAAAAGACAGAAAACCAAATAAAACACAACTTTTTGTTCCAGAAAAGAAAAAACTCAGGGAGGTGCTTATGGACTTGGATTCTCTTGAAGGTTAGTGATTACTACTGCTAGTTAAAAGTGAAATCATTCAAATTATGGGCATAACAAATTACTTTTCAATGACCAGGAAACTTTTACAAAGTTTTGGTTCTGCAAAGTAACAGGAGGAAGTCTATTCCGTGTTTGACTGAACAACTTTGTGATTGATCCATAGTGGTTCCAGTCCTTGTTAAAAGCATATTAGCTGATAGCAGGTTAAAAGCACACAGTTGTTAGGTATTAAGCTGCATTCGGTCTAAATGGGAGACAGACGAACATCTACATAGATTCAACACAACTACAACAGAAAACCGAGCAGGCAAAGAGTATGCAAACTATACAGACACAGACGACAGAATGGACATACAGTTAGCTTCTTCAATTGAATGGAATGAACTTGTAAATGCTGAAGAAAAATAAAACGGTCCTTGTCCTTGTCGTTCTATGTTCTGATCCCATCCAACATGCAATGCACTGCCTGCCTCCTTGCCAATCTACCATTGAGAACAGTCGAACATGCTATATAATAGCTGTGGCGAACTGCAGTAGATGCACTTGGGAGCAAACTATTTTTTGTACATGATAACTAACGTCATACATCGTTTTAGAGGTAGCTGGAATAGGAAAATAAACCCAAAACCTTAGCCTCCAATTGCTCAGCAGAGTACATGATATACTTTCCTGGTTGCTTTCCCCTGTCTATTAGGCTCCTGAATTTCCCGAGAAAATTCCTATACGGAGGAATCAGCTTATCTAGAATAGACTGGTGAAGCTTCGTTCGGAGCTCAAGGTCCGGTACTTCCCACATCATTTGCGTCCGATGTGTTTCTTTAAAGAGTGTATTGAAGTTCTTGAATCTTAATTTTAGAGCTTTCCTTGACACACCAGAACCGACAGTGAAACCCCAGCTGCCATTCAGTCCCTCATGTCTCAAACAGTACACAAGCACATCCCAAGTTCCACTCACATAATTAGTCATTGAACCCTGCACATTTTCAGTAAGCTTGTTGATATAATTGTCCCCAATCATCTCTGTCAATGCTGCAGACCTTCTAATTTGCTGGACGATGTAGTGAACATTGTTCATCATGAACAAATTTGCCAACAAGGAATCTTGGTAACACTTGGACCTACGCTCCAAATTGAGATGTAACACGATAATAATCCACAAAAAATGTGCTGCCAAAGGAGCGCGCCCTTCCAATTCCTTGACATCCAAATCTGAGATCATTAGATTTCCTATGGTCGTTGAAGGCTTGGAAGTTATTAACTCCGTCAGAGTTTCCTTACTTTCTGAAACCAGACTCGTCACGTATCCCATCACATACTCGGTCGAGCGGTGAATTGCCCCTCCAGGAATGGGATAATTACACAGCTCGCGAAGCAGTGTTTCCTCAAAATCTGAAAGAGCAGGGCTCACCACTTCACCACCAAGCCTGGACAGAATACAATCAGTACGAACACGAATGGTCTGGCCAGCTTCTGACTCAAACACAGAGTTAATATCTGACCTAAAACAAGAAAAACTTCTATAAAGGGCTAAAATCTCTTGTAACTTCTCAGGTGATGGACGACAGGAGCTAAGAGCATCAGCAAAATCAAGTAATTCGGCTACATAATCCGTAACAATCGCAAAAAAGCAAGACTCACCAATAGCATCATTACCAATACCTCTAAAAACATGATTTGAAAGCTGCTTCTCAAATGGGAGAATCCCCCGGAGGCAACAATGCACTGCTCGAATCCAGCGCATTATTTTCGCCTCTAGAACTCCCCACTCCAGCCTCCGGACATCACAGATTCCAGACTTCTCACCCCAAAGCTTTCGGAAATGTGCATACATGAAAGACTTCCTTTCAGTGACATACACACGGACCAACTTATCAAGATGCCCTTTTGCATTCATCTTCTGGGCAATTGATCTGAGATGGGCAATTTCTTTCGGACTTGGACCATGGTACCCTGAATAACTACTCTCCTCCAGAGCCGACAGGCAAAGGCTAAATGAACAAGTCGAGTCAGTGGTGGAGCTGGGATCAGTGAGGGCAGCAGCAACCCCTTTGACCTGCAGATGCAATATGTCTTGGAAATCGTTCTTGAGCCGATCCACTGCAATTTCCATAGCTTCATTTGCTTCAGCAGGAGTTTGATCAGGGGAGCTAGCGTCGGGCGACTTGGTCCCATCATAACCAAGGCCGAGATGAATTTTCTGGTAAACGGGTTCCGTTGGGCTCGACAAATCACGAGAGTTTGAATTTGAAGCTGCCATCACAGTAATAGAATTCATAGACAGTTGGTAATTATGATGGTCAGACTAAACCCAAGTGGAAATTCAACCAAGAACGTAATTTTTTATGGCGACCACTCCACAATCAGCATAGTGATTTCGGTTAGCGGAAAGGTCAAAGGAGAGGAAGTTAATGAGGAGCAGAACCCTAATTGGAGATGGGAGCGGAGAGGGGGAGAACGGAACTGAACGGAAAGAGCAGTTGTCCGGTCACTTTGATCATCGCACGTTGTTCCGCGTCTCGTCAGCGTACAAAACTGGAAAAAGAAATATGGAAAATAACAATAGGTAATTTTATTTGCACTCCCTTTACTTTATCTGCACTCACACTACTCTATTTTCGTGTTGATAATGAAAATTGGGCACAACTATCTCTATTCTAATTTCTTCTCTTACTTTATCTTGTGTTCACATGCAAGGAAGTTGGGTACAATTATCGTACTCATCCAAAAGGTAACAAAAAATTTTGCTTCTCTTCTTCTAAATCTACATGGCTTTTTTTTTTTTTTTTTTTATAATTCTTATTTCAATTTCAATTTTGCAGTTTTGATGAGCGCAATTGAGGTTCCATTGCATCATCTTGACACTAGATGTTGTTATGCTTTTGTTGAAATATGTACTAGAAAGTTTCGCTCTCTCTATAGTGGTTATATGAACTATTTTTAGTTGACTTTTTTGAAGTATTAGTGTCCAGTTTACTAGACATTACGGTTATATTTAGTTTTTGATCATCTTTGAAACTTGGGATTTATTTATTTATTTGGGTTTGAAGTTTGGAATCTATTCATATTATATTGTTAGATTGATCATTTGCGTCATATAATTTCGTGAGGTTTTGTAGAAAAATACATAATACATATTAGTGACAACTTTAAAGTAGTCATTATAATGTATAATGGAATAATTAATTGGTTTTAGAATGTAAGAAAAAAAAAATCTAGTAAAGTTAACTCATAGGCAAAAAGAAGAAATTAGAGGAGGAGTAATATGGTACCACCTAGTTAAAGTAAAAATGGGATTGTTGGAGTGCAAATAACATTACCCAATAATAATTAACGCTACGTGTTCTTTTTTTTTTTTTTTTGGAAAAATGTGAATGGCAGTGTGATGCCCAGATTCTAGAAGATGAACAAGGGCTTGACTTAAACTTCAGCACATTGCCCGGATAAGGTACTAACTAATTAACGTACAGGTCTTACTTTAGATTAGAAGTAATCACACTCCGCGTATCCCTAAACTTTTTCCACAGTAGACTTTCTCCCTAAACGTAGCTACGTGGCTCAAGATGGGAGTAGAAGTTTTAAGTTTTTCTATGGTAGTTCTACAATTATTTTGTGACTTTTAAAAATGGCGTAATGATTTGAGTTGTGAGCATTGTAGTAGTGTTAGCTGCTCAGAAATGGTCTGGAGACTGGGAAGCCCAAGAACCGAGAGGGTTGAAGATCTTCGAACTAACATGTTAACATTTGAGGAGTCAAAAATCAGAAATCGCCTTTTTTTAACACATCTACGGCATACTCACTCGACAGATGAAGATACTTTCTGTGTGGATTAAAAGTCCAAAAAGCACCTGTAAGGAAATTTCTCAGCGCCTCAGATGAGGGCTGGTCCAACTTCCGCATGACAGACGAGAAAACAAGTCGCCGCTAATAGTAGTAAAAGAATCAGTAGTATATGCTAAGAGCAGGTTCTGATTTTTAATGAATTATTTTACTAGAGATAAGAACCACATTTCTGCGAATGCACCTGCAACAGTTCCATTCCAGTCGTCAGTGATACAGAAACAAACCCCTGACCATGCTCTCAAGTTCCTCTTCTGAGTACTTGATGTATCGTTTTGGTAGTTGTCCTCTCTCTCTCTCTGTGGCTTCTGAACTGATCAAGAAACGCCCCGTAGGAAGGAATCAGTTTGTCCAAAATGGACCGTAAAAGTTTCTCACGAAGCTCGGGATCTGGCACTTCCCACATTACCTGGAGTCTTTGAATATCTTCAACCAAAGCACTGAAGGTCTTGAACCTTCCTTTCAGAATTTTGTTCGACACCCCTGATTAGAACAGGTGACTGACATGTGGTCCTCCATCTCTCAAGCAATCCAAGACCCTTTGCCACGTTCATCTCAATTAGCTGGTTGTTGCCTGCTGAATATTTTCCTTTTAACTTGCAGCAGATATTTGTCTCCAATCATCTCAGTTAATTCTCCGGATTGCTGAATACATCGGACAATGTAGTGAACATTGTTCATAATGAACAAGTGTGCCAAGGATGCAGCTTGGTAGTTCCGGGATTTACCCTCTAACTTCAATCCTAAGGTTACAATGATCCAGACCAGAGTGATTGCTAAAAGACGTCGTCTTTCCAATTCCGGGATTCGTTCCAAATCTGGAACTGTTGATTCACCTAATACCATTAATGGCTTTGTAATGATCATCTCCTCAAGAGTGTCCTTGCTCTCTAAAATGATCTTCGGTGTTACCTGAGATTTTTCTTCCAGACTCCGCCTGCAATAGACTGCAAAAATCACACTTGAGTTTATCTCCATTTTGATTCACAGTGCCTTTCTCCATGTGCACTTCCTTTCAATTTTGTTCGGTACCCCTGCATCAAAAACCTTGCTGATTGATCTTCTGTCAAATTCCAAGTCTGGAGCTACATCACATTTAATTTGTGTTCGAAGCTGAAATTTTCGACCAAGTAAACTCATCCTTCGGACCTCCCAATAGCTTTTCAGAATATTCCCAGAAGTTGTAAATGGGATGAAATAATTTTGTGATACCTGAGAAAACATTAAATATTAAAGAAGCACGGAAAACTGGGAAAGGGGGAGACTGGACAAGCCTGTGAGATACATGACAAAATTCAAAATGACAGAAAGGGAGGGGAAAGGGAACACTTGAGGAAGAAAAGAATCTGGAAAGTCATCTGGATTCATAAACTCAGTAGTCGACACATTTGTAAGATCCAATAAACCTTGGATTCTACAACAAAGCAGCATTTTGCTGCTAAAGACAAAAAAAAACCTTTCAATTTTCTTTTGGATCGCAACAGCGTTACATTATTCATGTAAAATCATCAAGACCAATCAAATCTGTACGCTTCCAACTTCTAAGAGTCCTTCAAGAAAAGAAATGTAATCCTCTGCTTAATTGCTATTATTCCCGAAAAGAGTAGATTAGAACCTAATCGGAACTGATCGCAGTAAGTACCATATATATCACTCCAGACATTCATAAACATCTTCATCTGTCATTTATTACTGGAATGATAAAATCTACAAAAGAATTTGTGCAGATATTTTCTAGACGTTAAATTCAACATGAATGTGCAAAGAATATTACATGCCTGCGCAGACTAAACTGTGTAGCAAAAGAATTATTCTCACACGTAAAAGAAGGGCTTCACTGTATACCACTATTTCCAACATACAGCTTAACCTGGCATTTCATCTAATAGTGCAGGCAATTTCCAAGAACTGGAGAAAAGTTACATTCTCTGCTGCTAAATCTTGCCAGGTGTTGCATTTAACCACCTCCTAGATGAGAGTTCTCAACTGGGCAGTCTGATGATGGAGGTAGCTGATGACGCGCAAACAATTTCGTCATGATCAACTCCTCAAGGTCCTTGAGGGAATACTTAACATGTATCCTGTGGACGTACTGGAGGCACATTTTTCTCTGTTTTCCACTCTCTAAATGGCTGCTAAACCTCATGAGAAAGCCCTCATAAGCTGGCATCAATTTCTCCAACATGGAACGGCGGAGCTCCTCCCGAAGCCCGAGATCTTGTACTTCCCGTGATGATTGTAGCGACCGAATCTCTTCAAAAACAATGTTTACGGTCTTGATCCTTTTCCTCAAAGCACGAATTGACACTTGAGAAGTAAAACACCGACAAACATAGAGTCCCTCGTCTCTCAAGCAATTCAATAACCTTCCACAGGTTATTTCCTGATAGCTAGTCATTGCCCCTTTGACATACCCGTCTAACTTCTTCAGATAATCAGCACTAATCAACTCTTGCAGTTCCCCCGAACCCTCAATTTTTTGTACAATATACCTCACATTGTTCATCATGAACAGATACCTCAAAGAAGGATCCTTGAAGTACTCGGATTTATTCTCCAAATTTGATTGTAAAACTGCTATGATCAAAACCAAATGCAAAGCTAAAGGACTTAGACTCGTGGGGTCCTGAAGCTCCGAGCCTGGAACATTTTGACCCCTAATAGTCATCGAGGGCCTTGACACAATCAACCTCACTAGATTCTTCCTATGAACTACCATCAGATTAACATACCCCATCACGTGTTTTGTCAGCGGATGGACTCTGCCTCCATCATCTGAGATGGTCGTAAGGTCATGGAGCACAGCATTCTCAAAAGCCGAGAGCATCCTTCTGACCTCGTCCTCAAGTCTAGACAGGGTCGCAGCCGTGCCATTTGGTATAGCTTTTGCTGATTCTGACGGGAAAAGGGCACCAACATCCTGCGCAAGAGAGAACATTACCTCGTAAAGCATCAGGACTGCCTCCAGCCTCTCTGGAGATTGGTGACTCAAGCTCACAGATTCGGCAAAACTGAATAAACAAACTGCAGCATCTTTGGCTGTGTATAGGAAACATTCCTCGTGAGTGGCAGTTCTTCCAAGCCCGGAAAATATTTGAGCGGCAAATTGCTTTTCCCTGGTGAAGAGAATCTTGGTACACACCCTAGCAGCCTCTATCCAGCGCTCAATTTTCATCCTCAACTCTTCCCACAAAAACCTCTTAACGTCCCCAGCCTTCAATTCATCAAGCCGAAGCCTCTTGAATACAGCGTTCACGAAAGGCCTCCTCACTGACTTGTACACCTCAATGCAGACATCAAGATGCCCGCAAGAATCCATTGTCTCCGCTATGCTTCGCAGATAACGGATCACCTCTGCACTTGGTGTTTCGTGCACTACAAAATCCTCATATCGAAACTGATAGCCAGTGCTGTCAGTTAAAGAGCTCAACTCAGTCGTGGAATTCGAACCCATAGCTGAATCTGTTTGCCTAGTCAATACGGTCCTAAACTCATGCTTGAGCCGAGTTACAGCCATGGAAATGATGTCTTTGAGCTCATCATTATCGCTTGCTGATTGCTGAATCTTGACTACCGCCTGCAGGTATTGACTGACTTCAGCACGACCACAATCGAATATTAATCTTTCTCTTGGCTGCGGATGCCAGTTTGAGACTACTTCAACGGCTGATTGAAGTGATTGTGACGATCCCATTATGAGATATGCCAGGAAAGAAAGCTTTACATGAAGGAATATTAGAACAAAGATTCAGAATCTTCGCATCAAAAAAAAAAAGAGAAAATGAATTGGAATCTTCACATCAAATACGAGATTAACCAATAAACCAAAATTGAAAATAGTTTCTGTACGAGTTTCAATGAACTCGTACTTTATCTGTATTAGTCTTCAGACTGGAAGCTTTTAACTTTAGAGGAGAAAAGCCAGGCTCAAAGAGATTTTCTTGGACAGGCAAGCGATGCTAGAGCAGGAAGATAGAAATGTAGGAATTTGGATGATATTTGAAAAGTTCAGAGCCCATTTTTTTGCCCAAAGATAAAAGAGACGCGCCTACCACAGTATTTCCGCGAAAATCAGAAGACCAAGACTTTAATCATTGTGTTGTGTATGCAGCTACAATCCAACCCGATGAATGGAAGCTTCCCTTCGTTACGTGAGTTCGACTTGGTAGAAGGTTGGGGAAGAAATTTCAGAAATACATTTTTAGCAGAATTTGGGGCCCATATCATTCGATGCCAACAACCTTTTTGCTCCTCAAAATTTAAAATAATAAAAAAAACACACACACTGGATTTTGTATTTAATTGCTGGGTTAAAAAACGATTTTTTTTTTTTTGGGGACTTAAAAACTCATTAAGTTCGAGACAGTTGGCAGGAGAAGCGTTGACCCTCGCTTCCATATAATATATATTGTTTCAGTACAAAAAAATGGGGGGTAAGGGAACAAGGAGAATACCACGTATCACTAACTTATCAAGTAATAACGGTGGTATCTTAGACATGGTATGTTATACTGGTATTTTTTCCATGAAACACGACCATTATGCGAAATTCTAGACGTCAAAAATGAAGCATTACTATTTGACAGACTGGGGGATACAGCAGACCGGATCCCCAACTGGACATTCTCTTTGAACAGCTGACAAAGGCCCATAGCAGATGGGATCCTTAATTTTCCATTCATGAGTCACTCAAAACCTACTTAATTCCTCTACAATGGGGAACGCTACGACCGCTTCCCTGCCATCGCATTTAAGATCTGAACAGAGTCGGGTTCGGCATAAAAATTTTCTCCGATTTTGAGGGTTACAAGTGAGATGACCATGAACAACCAAAACAACAAAAGATGATGCATTGGAGGGGCATCTCCAGACTACAAATCCCCCCTTCATTCATATATTGCCCGCATCAAAGAGCAACCAAGATGTTCAAAAATCTACCCTACCATAATCAAATTCACTGCCCCCTGACTCAGAAACAAAGAATAAATTCAATGTAACTATACAATGACCAGAACCCTCTAAAAGCAGTGCGACAACCTCTCTTTCCCTTGAACCAAAAATCCCACCGGAAGGGTCAGTCGAGTCAAGACTATATATTCTTGAGATATTACTTCTTTGTCCTGCAATAACACAGGGCCAAAAGGACTTCCAACTTCTGACAATGGAGAAAATTGGAAAGCAGCATTTTGGAGGCAAATAAAGAAATAAGCCTCCTCCAGCATCATTTTCCTAAAATCTAGAATCGGGTGCACTACACAAAATATCTTCTTAAATTTCCTGATCAAAACGATGGCTATCGGAGCTCTCTTCGTCAAGTTCTCTTATGAGCTTTTCCATTTGTCTTCTATAAACTGGCATGAAGTGATCAGCAATCATGGTCTGGGACAGCCTTAGTTTACTATACAATGACCTAGGAGTCAGAAAAATTCCAACTTTTGGCTCAGCTGGTTGACAATGGTCCAAGCTACTAGAAGTAATGCTGTCAATTCCACAGTCCACCTCATCAGTAAGAAGTGTCACAATGTGCATTATTCTTCCTGGGGGGAAAAACCTGTGCACTTCCTTTGTATTAGGCAGTGAGCTTTCAGAGTCACTATCACTTACCTCTGCAATAGCTGCTGCTTCTTCTTCCCTAATCTCCTTCACCACATCAGATTCCTCACATTCAATCTGATCATAAAGCTCTTTCTCAATTTGTTGCCACAACTCAACTTCCGTCATACGATCTTGATGTCTATCATGGTCCAAGACATCCTCGCCCTCATCAAGGTCAGCATCAACACCGCATCTGATCTCACTTGAGCAACTTCCTGAACTCCACACCACCCCTCCTGATGAAGATACAGGGATTTCAGAGCTGTCAATGCTACTTGAGGTCACCTCAGAGGTAGCAAGGAATGGTTCAGATGTTTCTCCATGAATTGCAGAAGATTCCAAAGACTCTGCCCCATCATTAGTGCTCCCTTGTTTATTTGCTGAACGACGTCGAGGACCCATGCATGACCATGAGGATAATCGCATGCCAGGTCTTGATAATGCTGCCTGAGCCATGCTTTGGGCTCTCTTCATAACAACCTAAAGTCAACAACACAGCCAGCAACCATTTAATAGAACATCAACAAAAACGCAAGCAGGAAATTGACCAAAAATGATCTCTTCAATCAGACAATGTCAAGATGCTGGCATAGATAATACTCTGTATATGTTCTACACCAATTTGTTGAAATTCAGACATCTCAAATGGAAGACTGCCACATTATTCCAACAGTAATACAGCAGAACCAGCTAAGATGTAGCAAGCAGCATACAGCGGTCAAACTTCTTATTGATTAAGGGTTCTAAAAGAACTCAACCGGATAGCAAATAAAGAACACAGAACAAGAAGAAAAAAGGGATGAATATTACATTTTCACAAATAAGAGTTCAAACGTTCAGTGCGACATTGAAGATGCAAGGAGGAGCCCAGGCTGGAATACAGCATTTATGATATTTTATATACCTGTGTACCAGTAGATACTGGGCGCAGTATTGCACCAGCACCAGCAACTTTTGCTTTAGCACTTGCCATGGATGGAAGCCGAGAACCCAAGGCTGAAGCAGATCGATAAACAGTACTAAGGATTCTAGTTTGTTCAATCTGATTCCTAAGATCATTCAACCAGGCTGATGCTGTCACCTGAAACAGGTAAAATATTTTTCATTCCAAGAGATGCTACATATAATTATAAAAAAGCCCAGAGTACAAAAACATTCTAAACAAGAAAAAGCCCAACTCAAGGGGTACAAAAAAAACGAAACCGTACAGATGTCTGAAATCAAAAAATCTCATTTGTTTAAATTTACACGCAATACAACAATCTAAAGAGCAATGATCGTATGCAGATGACACTTATCAGGCCATCATAGACGTGGGAGATTATTATTTAATTTTCAAAAGTACCAGAACATTCTACCAGATCAACGTTATAGCCATCACTACAACAACGATTTGCCAAAAGAAGTCAGTCTTAATCAATGGTTTAGAGGAAGATCAAGGTTATCCAAGCTAAAAAAATTGCCACACAATTGAGGACTCATGCAGAATAGAGGTGCTTATTGAAAAAAGAGACAATCAGTTATACATTCTTAACTTTACTATCGGAAGCCAACTTATTGTGCATGTCCCAATGAATAATTACACAAAATTCTACTCTTGAATACAGGAAACACTAAAGTAAACTCAAAGCAACTCTAGATGCATAATTACCAATAATGGATCATCACTTATTGATGAAATCCATCGAAATAGATGTATACAGAGTACCCTAATAGAACTAAAATTAGTGCAAAGAGAATTTGACAGTAATATCTAAACAGAAATGAGAAGGCAGGTAGAATACCGGCAACAAACGCATCATAATTAAACTACATATACAACCACAAAGTCAACCACTTTAACAGAAACCAAAATACTTCATCGTTGAAAGCAAAAGGGCAGAAAGAAATTCAGCTAGTATGACAAGACAAGGAATCAGATTCAAGAATTGACCTCAGCACGAAGGTCATCCACTGAAGCAGCAGAGAATGTTGGCACCAGATCAGCTCCATTTATTACAGAAGTAATGAATTCAGAGCCAGATTCAGCCAATTCCCATGTCATACAAGCAGCTGCATTGAACATTGCGTGAGATCTAAAGCAACTCTCTTTTCCTCATCATAAAGTTAGCACAATTATGAAGAAAAACAAAACGTAGCTAGAAGCAAAGAATCATTAGAAATCAACAAAAACCTCACGTTCCTGGTGGAAAAGCAAGACAATAACCTGGAGCAAATGCTACACACGTAGCTGTTGATAGTTCCTTCTGCTCACGCAATACATAAGTTAAAAGAGCTGCAGTACCACCACCCAAAGAATGTCCTACAATCTGTAACCAAACAAAACAACTTGATTTTATCATTACAAGCCCAGCCACACACACTATGAATAAGAAATTATGCCTAGCTATATGGTGTACACAGAAAGATCTAAAAACTCGAGTAGCTGCCACGAATAAGTTGCAACACCAGTCATATCTTATCTGTTAAACTACAAAAGCCTTAAGAAGAATCAGAAAGCACAAGCATGAGGGGCTTGACCAGTATGTATGTTAGTGCCAAAACAAAGGCAGCAGTAACATAGAAGTCAAACTAGAATCAACCACTTCTTAAGACACACAACAATCCGGGTATGTAAGGTTTATCCTGCCAGCCTGCAACGAGATTAGTTGTGTTCTATATACAATCTTATACCTCCCAAACCAAAGTCATCACTGAACTATATTACCATGAGCCAATATTCATCCAGTATTTTGATTTTATCATAAGAATAATGAAACCCAAGCAAAGCATCTATTGAGGACCAGCTTATGGAATCAAACGCCATCCAACATGTCACATACCTTAAGTTTATACTCAGGATAATTGTTGAGGGCTTTAAGGAGACAAGGAGTTGCAAGTTTAGCAATCCAGCGAGCTGCTGCAACCATCCCACAATGTGCATAACCCAAAACCAAATTGATGACTCCTCCCTCACACACAACAGAGTGATGGAAAGGTACTACTGCTCCAGTAGCAGCTGTCAGAGTATCCTTGATACTGTGTGTTCCACGAATCAATAAGAGGAATGTTTTTGAATTTTGATCAACCAGAACTGTAAAAGCCGGTTTCAGTATCTGCAAAACAATAAAAAGTTTAGCATTTCTTCAGGGACAAAACAAGATTTCTGTATGTCTTTCGGCTAGTCTCTCACTTGCAAAAAAAGTGAACATTTAAGACATCAGAATACACTCTATTTCATCTATCACCCAACTGTATCAAGCCCAGCTAGATACAGGAACAACAAAAGGATAATCTTGTCAAGATGTAGAAACTATGGAAAGAAAGCAAGGGCATGCAAGGATCTTGGTCAGCATCGACTCCCAACTTGACAAATAGAAGGGATTTATGATTAGCTCATCACCATGGAAACATTTAAATAACTTACTCCGGCCTTAGGTTCTTGGAGAAGAACATTTTCTTGGGAAAAGCCCGTCTCCTCCAAAAACAGTGGAAATGGTTTTTTGGAAAAATGCCAACAAAGCGTCAACAAGTTCAAGAGATGTCTAAGCTCCAATGTAATTTCAAGTCCTTTGAGTTGA